GAAATTAAGATGCCAAACTCCTACGGGTTTGAGGGGAATGGGGATGCCTTCGGTGGGAATTAGGCACCCAAGTGCTCCTAAGGCCCAGTGCCTTGCTTCTTTGCTTGCTCATGTTTAGCCCTAAGAGTCATGATTTCCCAGGCCGTTCATTAGTGGCCTGGCTGATTGCACAGTGAACTAAGGTGAGTGGTAAGTGAATTAGATTTTTTTTTTTTGTAGTCTCAGTGATCCCAGTGATCTGGGAGGAATTTTCCAATATGAGCAAATGATCAGTAAGGGGAGGCAGATGGAGGCAGGAGCTCTGAGCCTGTTCTTACCCTCTTCAGTTTGCGTATGAAGAGAGTCAGCAGGAGCCAAAAGAGCGACGCAGCCACGCAGGTACAGGTCAGCGTTATTAGCTCCAGGTTTGACCTCTCCGATGTGCCTGGGAAAATCAAGCAGCAAACATTTTAGAAAATGACCTGGAAAACAGGGGCAGTTTATGTTTGTTTGCCATTAAAATAAAATACCAGGAAGGACTAGCTTCTTTTCAATGGGGTATTAATCTCTGTTTGGACTGGCTCACAGAGCCTGGAAAAAAACGGTCTCCTCAGCAAAGCCATTGTACTGAACGCAGCAAAAAGGTGCTAGATTTGTCAGTAAGTTTTTTGGTAAAATTTCAGCCCTTCTTCGAGGTGTAGGAGGTGAAGTAAACCAGGTGCAGGATGGCCAGCCAGCTTTCCATTTTCTTTTAAGGTGGAAATTCAGCTGTGGAGTATTTTTAGCCTGATTACCTCTGTATGAGAATGTGTGTGGGCCTGTGCATGTAGTTTCACCCCATAACAGTGAAACGCATCTGGCCAATCCAACCGTATTTGGCAGAGGAGCAGCAGTCTCCGATACACTCAGTCCCAGCCAATTTCAAGAGGACTCCTGCTTTATTATAGATGTCAGGGCATCCAAGCTCTCATTCCCGTGGTCTGACTGAGTCAGGCCTGGCATCAGGCTGCTGAGCTCAACTCAGGCAAAGCACGGCATGGGTGTCCTAAGTCCTGTGTCCATCCAGTAGCATAGATAGCCGCAGGGTGCACTCCTGGGGTGCGGAGCCAGGCTCCCCGTGAGGGCACCCCACCTTCCCCATCCCCAGCAGTGGCTGGCAGAATCAGGCTGTTAGGAGACTGGGAGAGCTCTCCAAACTAGGGAGCAAATTAAACACAGAAAGGGAAAAACAACAACATCAGCAGCAACAACAACAACAGCAACAACAAATGGAGCAGCAAGAAAACATGAACTTGAGAAATCTGGAGAATATTACAGCCCACTGACAGGGCTAAAAAAAAATTCAAAATAAAATTGTCTTCAGAGTGCTACTTAGGGACTTGAATAGTTTCAGAGCAGGCTGCTTTGAAGATTGTGTCAAAATACTGTACCTTCCACAGTATGCCTTCCATCTGATTGGCAGCGAATGCAAAAAACTCATACTCTGCCTCTTATTCTGACACCCCTCCAGAGAGAGCAGGAGAGGACAAGAAGGAGCAATTCTGAACATGGTTTCACAGGGGTTTTGTCAACTGTTCGTGCAACAGTTTCAAACCCCGGGCAACTCAGTATTACTCCTGACAAATGAAAATGAAATGATTGATGTCTCACTGGTGGGCTCACTGGGTAGTCAGGAGGGATGTGTTGCCTGGTTTTAGGCAAGGCTACAGAGCTTTGTTCACAGTTTGAATTGCTTCCTGTAGCTGTGGCTTAACTAGCATAATATCTTCCCTCTTTAAAAATGATAATCAGATTTGTGCTCATGCCCTATATTTAAGATTCCTCAGGCGTGTCCATCCTGGAGCTTTGAGAATAAAGCTCATTGAAGCAAAAATATTACTGCAACTACAAGTGGAGGTACAAAGTATCTATTTCCCCCGAATAAAAACTGTTAGTTTTTGAAAAGTGTGAGTATTTTTTAAAGGCTTAATTTAAATATGGGACATAATAAGGGCAAAAATGATGCTGCCTAATACAGCTCGCTTGTCCTCTGGCATCAGGCTTGCTATTTGCATATGTATACTCTTCCCTTGCTTCTGAAGAGTATCCGTGCAGATGGCAAGTAACAGTTTCTGACATTTATTCAGTAAAATCTGGAAGGACTGAAGGTTCATTTCTTGCCACTGCTCCATATGACAGGACTCACAAAAACCATGAGGTTTGATACAGCCTGTCCCGAGGTGGACGGCAGCAACTTTCTAACGGCTACTGTGTGCCGTGAGGGAGTTAAGATTGGGGTAGGTTATCAAACTTGGGATTCCCAGTCTTGTGAAAAGCATTGCAGCCAGAACTGGCTGAATGCCTCTCGGCTGAGTAGGAAAAAATTTGCTTAGAGGGAAAACAGGTAGGGAAGGAGAGTCAGGAGGTCTACAGGAATTAGGGAGTGAAGGGTGCACACAAAAGGGCTGAGGATGAGAAAGGTCTGGAGTGACTGTAAATGCAGCCTGCAGTCTTTCTACACTGTTGCCCAGTATTTGTGGAGCCTCCCTCACTCCCACAGGACTTTCATCCACCGGTCACCCCAATACACACAGACTTCCCCCCTGTGCAGCTCTGCCTCATCTGCCTCACTGCACTCTACAACAAGAAGCCCTACTCCTCTCCAAGACTTCCTGGCAAGAGCCTTCACTCCCTGCTGTATGTCTTCAGAGCGCTACAGAGGGGCAAGGAGAAGGTCAAGCAGTCAAGCAGGGCCGGAGAGGAGCGGAAGCAATAGGTACCACCTCCACCTCCTTTTCCTCTCTCTCAGCAGTGACAGGAGCAGCTCAGGACCACGAAGTCAGGGGACAAGCAGACTTCAGTGGAGATACCCTATACTAACCAGCTGATCCTTTCAGGCACGAACAGAGTATCATGTACTTTGAGTGCCACTTTGGGCAGCTGACTTCTCTGCTTAGGGCTGGGCTGTCATGGTCTCTGGTTTGGACTAGCACCTAGGACTTTAGGCTCTAAATGTCCAGGTGCAGCTCTGTGTCAGCTGCAGATCAGGAAAAGAATAACATCTGAGGCACCAATAGCACTCTCTGCTGTGCTCAAAATGTCTCACTGTTCACCACCTGCTGTACCAATGTGGTCTGCCCTGCTTTATCTCTGCGATCCCACGATCGCAACGGTGCAGCACTGGGATAGGTGCCCAAAGAGGCTGTGGACTTTCCATTCTTGGAGGTTTTCATGACTTTGCCAGACAAAGCCATAGATGATCTGATCTAGGGTTGGCAATCGTCCTGGTTTGCACTGGAGGTCGGACTGGGCTCACTTCCAACCCCTGCTGCAGCAGTCTGAGTGACCCCTGATGTACAGTAACGGGGATCTTTTATCTTACAGTCATCCACATAATGCTGACTGAATCTCATTCAGTTACTGAGGGAATTCCAGTTAAAATTAATTGAAATATTCCCAGTAACTTCAGAGTCAGAGTGGACCATAAGGTCTAAGCTACATTTTGAGATGCAAACGTAGATAAATAGACAGACAAACAGATAACTATATAAAAAACGAACACATTTTTCATAATATTAGTACTGTTGAATGAGTGTTCAAAAAATGTGATGCTTTCCTTTCTTGTCAGCAAGGATCACATAAATTTGTCAAGCATTAACTTTAATATAAGGCACATAAGTGAGCCTGAGCTGTAAAATATGCCTCTTTCTTTCACCAACACACCCCTTTCAAATGCTGCCGCACCTTGTAACTAGATGTATGAGGGACGCTTCCTTGGGGGAGTGTGCAAGACTCCCCAGGTGGAGAAGCAAAGGGAAGGGTTTAAGTGAAAAGTTTCCTGTTTGAAGATCAGTGTAGACAGCTTGTGGCCAGGCATGGCCCTGAAGGTGAGCTGCAGAAGAGAGCCTGAATTCCCTGTGTTCAAAAACTTGCATCAATATGTATTTAAGAACCTACTTATCTCCTTTGTTGGGTGCTATGGCAGCCATTTGCTGTTCCTGTTTGTTCCTTTGAGATTTGCTGCCTTTTCAGTTCCTCAGCCAAGAGCAAATGGACAGCTTGCTCTGACATTTCCAAAAATGTTGCTCCTCTCCTCCTTAGAAAGTCCTACAAGCATGGCTTCCAAACTAAACAAGGTCTGTGATTATTTAAAGACGACCCTTGGATTCCACCATCCATTCATCCATCTCTGATACAAAAATAACACATTGTTTTATCTGCAAGTATAAGAATGTTTTTTCAGAGGAAATAAAAAGAGCAGACAGTTTCCTTCCTGACTCATTCACAAACTGCTCTTCCAATCTGTTAAACATAGCCATAGACACAAGGCATTGCTCTGCTCTCTTTGATCTGTTGCACTGCACTCTGAGAACCAGTGATACAGAGAGAGGTTTTGTTATTTGCATTTGCAGTTATACGGTGTGTATTTCTGAGAAGGCTGAGGAAGTGGTAAAGCCTCAGGTGAGCCTCACATTAAAACCCTCAACCCACATCTCTGGGCTCAAAAATGGACTGAGAGGTTGCAATTCCTTCAAAGAGGGACAGATACTCAAGTTCTGTGAAGGCTGCATAGGAATGAATGAAAAAAACCTCCAGTTAAGTCCCTCATACTTCATGCAGATGGAAGAGAGAAGAAGCATTTTTGAGAGAGAAGCAGCTGAGATGGCTGTTCGAGAAAATCCATGTTGATTTACTAGCTGTAATTGTCTTCTGCTATAGGGTAGTATCCAAATATTCAGGAATGGTATTCAGACACATTTAGCAATTGTATGAGAACACCCACAAGGACATAATCTCTGCCTGAGAGACCTGTTAGTAGTCAAAATGCCTTATATAAAGAGAAACCAAATGCATATTTACCTAATACAGGAGATCAATACGGATACGTCAAATTTATATATGGCATTCATATATATGGAGAATGTCAATCTGCTTGTCCTGTCTCATAGTATATGAATCAAAAGGATATTCGATGAAACTGAAAAGTCACCAAATAAATCCGATTTTTATGCAATGTATAATTACTCAAGGGAAGTCACTGCCACAGCTTTGAGCCAAGCTTGGCAGAAGTCAGGAGGACAATGCTGTACATTTAAATGAACAGCAAAATAACTCAAGTAATGGTAACAGTAAGAACTATATTATACCTACTTCTTATATTAAGTACCTTTGCAAAATGCATCTATAGATGTTGCTAGGCTAAAATCTTCTGATCTGATTTGGCAGCTCACTTTACATTGAAAATAAACAAATGGAAAAATATCTAAAGCCTCTAATTTTGATGGAATTAACCTGAAATGGGAAAATGAGTGGGTAGGAGCATGTTCTTTATTTTGTTTTCTATTTGTTTTGATGATACTAAATTTACATTTGTCTTCTACCCTGACCCGATCTTTGTTGGGTTGAAGCAATTCTTTTTAGGTCAGTGTAAACATGCTCTGAGTTAGCATTTCCTGTTAGGCTTCCTTTCCAACCTGGTACATTTCCCTTGCTAAGACTTCCTTCAAATTGTTGCTTTCAGAGATCACCACATGATCTACAAGTCATACACTCTCCTTTCCAACTTGAGTAAGAACATCACTCTGGCAAGCTTGCTGCTCCCATTTAATATCATGCTTTACCTTGTACTGTGACATACGCTGCACTCTCCACAGACCCTTTTAAGTTGGTGGCTATGCACCGGTAAAGTCCTTCATCTTCCTCTTTTACTCTTTCAATAAACAGCATTCGGCTTCCGGGCCCTAAAATTATTCCTGTGAAATGAAAGATTTTGCAATGGGTGGGAGCCAGGATATAAACAAAAACTGCCACTTGTGTAATAATATCTGCTTCAAGTTCTTCTCAAAAGAAATCTGAACCACAGACTGAATAGCACAAAGTTATCTGCAGGAAAGCCAAATATACTTGGATGTTTTGGGAAACTTTTGGAAATTAGTGTTTATAAAGCACTTGTGTGAACGAAAAAGCTCAGCCTAAGAGAATGATCCTGGGAGCACTTGATAGTAAGCATAGTGAAGAGCACTGTGCTTAGACTTCCATGCAAGTGACTTCTCCAGTATGTCTCCAATTTTTAAACACATGGGTGGTCTGATTACTTACCACTACACTTATCAAAGCAGGTCTGTCTCAGAAGCAGCCTGAGTCTTGGAGCACTTCCAAGACCTAGCTCCCTGCATCCACCCTGGCCTTACAGACAACCTAAATTCAGACTTGCTACAAATTTCATTTGCTCATGTGGCAGGGCACACTAGGCCCCTTCTAGGAAGGAGGCCAGCTAGTGCCAAAAAGGTCCCATTAGGTGTATCCTAAAATATAGGAATTAGTCAAAGTTTTCAACACCTCCAGCTAGCAAGGAACAGAGGCAGGCAGCAGATTTGGCTTCAGGCCTGCCTTTAAGGCACAGCGTAGGCAGGAAATGTGTAGTCAAGTACACATTTACGCATTTGGCGCCAAAGCAGAACTACCATCCCATTGAAGTGTATTCCCAACACCTATTTCAGGCACTTAACTCAAGTGCTCTGACTTACCCTATAGAGACATCTTCCTGGCTCCTAACCTTGTGTGTGTTGCATCACACCCAAGTTAGATACACAACCTTCCTTCTAGATGATGGTGTGAATAACTCACATTATAACCACGGGGTCAGTGTAGAACTTCACAGAATCTAGCTCTAGATTATTTTTAGTGTCTATGCTGCAAGTCTGCACATGACTAAAACTCACTTTCACAAATACTCAGAAATGTTCCTGATTTACTTTATTCATTCTACAATAATTTCAGATAACATAGGACAGAATTTTGAATACAAAATTTTCGAAAACGTTTCTACTACAGACTAAGGATACAAGTTCCTACAGACTAAAACTACTTGAAAATTTTTGCTGAGTCTTTAACACGATCTCATTGTGTGGTTCTGATTTGGATGTGGATGAATTCCCATGAGAAAAGTTTTACCTTTTCTCCATCAAAAATGTCCACCTTTTGGCCCTAAAATCTCCAAGGAACACTTCGGTAATTGTGGTCAGATCTAGACCTGTAGCCTTAACTGATCTCTGAAGCCACAGTCTGAACACACCTGTAAACATCTCTCAAGGTTTTCTTGTAACTGCAGCATAACACCTGAGAAGCTACTCCATTCTGCCGCATGAAACCTAGATTCCCCTGGCATAGGCAGATGCATTTTAGTTTTGCTTGGGGACCCCAGATATGGAATTGGTCCGGTGGTCAGCCTATGAATCTAGAGCAGGCTTTACATGCATGACCACAGACTTCCCCTGGTACTTGTATGCATGTTGTTCAAGCTTGGATTTATCCTGCCTAGCTGTACACTGGCCAAGACACCCAATCCTTAGGCTCCCTCTATAGCAAACAGACAGAAATAGGGTTCTCCAGAGATTATTCTTCTCAGATGCAAACTGAGAGACATATTGTTCCCACTGACTCCATAGGGGCCTAATGTACCTACACCTCTACCCTGGGAGAGGTTCTGAAATTAGATGGAGTAACGCAACATGCTGTGCTGCCGTCAGCCCACCTGTAAAAGATGACTGTGGGAATGGTTACCTGAGACAGACAAAGCACAATGAAAAGGCTGTAAAAGGTGGGGAAGCATATAAAGCTCTCACCTGATTCTTGCTGTATTTCTTCATGGTTTTTAAACCAGGATATCTGTGGCTCTGGGATGCCATGAACCTGGCACTCCAACATTGCAGAGTTACTGGTGTTCACTGTCTGATCCGTAAGGCGCCGCAGCAGGGCTGGTGCCTCTTGAGCTACAAGACAAAATAACATCTCCATTTTACATTCCTGCCACTGAGGGTTTTAAATTATCTTCCATACCAGCATTTTACTGATGTTAGAGATTGGTGCAGGTGTGCTACCAAGTTCATTGTTCACAGATGTTATTTACTGTTCCAGTTTGTTTAAGTGTGTTTGGTGTGTACAAAGCATTCCCTTTACTCAGCAATAGCAGGTTATGATGACCAATGGTTCAACACTCAATGCTGACATTGTTTAGAAGACTTCCTCAATTCCATTATCAACCATATTTGTTTACCAAAAGCAATGTGTTTCTATGAGAGCTCAGAATTTTGCATAACCAGGAGAAACAAACTATGGCATGAAAAATTTTAACAGTCAGCAGAACATCCTTAGACCAGAGTATCTCTGCGTCAGTGATAGCACTACACATTCCTATACACCAGTATATCCATGAATGTGACTTTTGTCATTTACTTACTTTAAAGAGTATTGTTATGAATCCTATTCAGTAAACTCACATAATCCAAAACCAGAAACCATGAGCACAAAAGCATTGTGTTACATCTCTCAAATTCTTCCACTTTTCTGTTTCACAAGTCTTGCTGAACTTAACAAGACCTATCCAAGCCACACCAAAACTGACAAAATTGTGTTGTTGAGGAAGGTACCCATGACCTCAGTAGCTCAGAAATGCTGGATACCCTGATGGCAGCAGCCGAAGTGAGTCCTAGCAGTGCACACACCACAACACCACCACTCCTGTTTCACTTGTATCTCCTTAAATTCATACAAATGTGATGTAATAAAACACATTTCCATGACATCCAGTGACAGTGAATATCAGAAGTCCATCAGTTCTGCTTCTGCTCAAGAGCCACCCAACTGAACAGAAGAGCATCCCAAAGACACTCTATAAACATCACTTTAAAGTCATCCCTGGAAAAAACAAAGTAACAATTCTTTCTCATCTTCATTTCAGCCATTGCCCACTCTTCCTCCACTTTTTTACACAGTGAAGACTCGTTTGATAAAAATCAAGATATCTGCCACACTTATGTTCATTATGTAACTACAACTTTCTCTCACATTTGCAATTTCTTACATGATCCCTTTTCATATTTTTGTCCCTTAAAAGTAGAGATGGAGAGCCCAGTGCATCCTTGAACAAACTCACAGATGCAGATGCACTACAGATTCCCTTGAATTCTCTGTTTTTGCAAGAACTGATTACTTGCAATCTTCCCTTTCAAGGACACTGCCAGTGTTTACTACTGCGGTAAGACACATGTTACAAAAGGTAAGACAAGATAAGATATAAAATAAAATATTTTTGCGAAATATTTTTTTTTTGGAGCACAATAGACACCAACACACCAAATTCAAGTATAATATCAGCTGAACTTCTGACATTCTGTGTTTGGACTGTACTTCCAGAAAAATTGACTCTGTTATCTGGTAAGACACTTGCATCTTCACAATCATTTTATTACCAGCTGCCAATAAAAACTCTCCAAAACAACTGAGCATCAGTCTATCCAGTGTGTGTGAACCCTGTAGTACTAAAAGCTTTTCAACATTTCTAAAATAGGACATCTTTGCCATGCTTGTATGCCTTGAAATTAATTCCACAATAGTCACGAACCCTCAATGACTAATCTGGTCTTTTATGTGCTGCAAGTCTGTAATTTCCATGGGCAACACTATTATTTGTTTACAGCGTAGTAGACAGTCTGTTTTCATTTCATAAACAGTAAAGCTCACGAGAGAGGCTGTGAAGTAAATTCTTCATCAAATACCTACACAATGACTTTATCAACAAGCTTTTCCCTGCCACCAGGAAAGCTGCCCTGCTGTCATTTATATCTCCCTTGATTTTTGCATGGTTCTCTTTCGTGACAAAACAATCTGTCTATGAATAGGCATGGAGTGACACACGTTCACATACGCAAACTGAGAGGAGGTCCACATTTCACATTTGTCAGTCGTCCCTGCTGGACCCCCCTCAACCCAGGCATTCAAAAAGAAGGAGGACAAGATGACACAACAAAGGCAAATCACACGTTCTGTGGGTTATTTGCGATTAATTTTAATTTGTTTATAGCCATACACTAGAGATGGATTTTCATATTAAGAAAAACTTTCTTACTTGAAAATTAGATCCAGTAACCATTCACATACTCTCATAAATTTCTGTGCTGCAATCAGCCGATTTTTCATGGATTTGGTCAATCTGTGGATTACTCTCACAAACCATCTGTTTCTCCGGGTCCTTTTTGCAGTGAAGCCAAAAGGGAGATTTTTCAAGCACACCCTGGCTCTGCTTGCCCTGAAGACAAGGGCCTGCACTTGCCTTCAGCGCGGGCAGAGCCGAGGTGTTGGGCCCCAAGCTGAATGCCAGCATCGCCCTCAGCCCCCATGCCTGCCTGCAAGGCCATGGGTGCTGCTTTTCCAGAGACCCGACCAAATTCTGCTCTCAGTTACACCTCAGTTACACCCTTGGGAACTTCATTGTAGGCAGAGGTTGGCCCCGTGGAGCTGCAGAAGGCCACTGAGGAGCACCCCTGGCTTCAGAGCACCCAGTGAACCCAGGGCAGGGAGGAGGAAAAATTTCCGTTTCCAAAAGCAAACGAGGGAAAACATTCCCAATTGTTAATTTTGGGGTATACCACTCCATTCCGTGCATTTTTGCCCTTTGTTATGCTTATGGTTGTATGTTGTTTGTTCACTTGTTTTTATTAACCAGTACAAAAATATAAATACATGCTTTAATTTTAACACTTTAAAAAAAAAGAAATATAATTCACACCTTTCTTCCTAAATATTATATTATACAGCAGAAGGTAGAGAAACTCCAAAAATTCATGAGATTCTCCATTTACCTAAGGACATCCAAAGTGACAGCAGTTTTTATCTGGCCTCCAAGAACTACTTTCCTCAAATACTTCCAATGAGGTGTCTCTGTGCCTCCCAACACGGGCAGTCACACAGGGATTTTAACACAGCATTACACAGCATGGCCCTCTGAGCACCCATCAAGACCAGACTGGCAAGACATCCACCCAGTAATGTGTTACACATCATTGCATAACAATTTCGCAGAGGAACAGTCTAATTTCCACATCAGTTTGTGACCCAAACTTCATATTGCCTGGCAACTGCCTGCTACAAGTTACCATGCTGTGGCTGTCAAGGCCATTGAAAATTCATAATGTCCTGTCATCACTGCCCACCTTGCCATCAAATGTCTTCTCACAAAATACCCTTGTAAAAAGGGGGCCGGGGGGGAGGTTCTGTATTGTAATTCTTCTGAGGACTTGCAAATGCTGCAGAGCACACTCGCCCCATTTTAAAGCGATTATCAACTATTTCACTTGCTTTTTAAGCATATTTAAAAAAAAAAAAAAGAGAGAGACCCAGGTTCCTTTGCAGGAACACATTGTTTCTGGAAGCCATCACGCTAATAATGAACAAAAGAGCTACTGTATACAAGCAGGCTATAGGTGACATTTCAAGATATAAATGATTATTCTTTTCTTTACTCTGACAACTTCCAGGTTATCAATTGTTTTCTAAGCATTTTAGGCTCCATGCAACTGGCATTATGGGGAAATACTATTGTTTACCCTTTCACACTTGACAAAAGCAATTCCCACGTGAAATGCAAGTTTAGCCGTGGGACACAGTCTTGATACCTAAAGGAGGAAATTGTCTGGTGAGTTCCCAAGCACAAGAAACTGTCATGTTGTCACCCTCTATTTTAAAGCACAGCCACTTTGTTCCTTTGCTGTAGCTATTTTGGTCACTAAGGTCTGTTTTGTTATGGCTTATGTAAATGCTATATAAATGATCAATCATAAATGTAACCAAAAATAATATAAGCTATGTATTGTAAAAAAATAAAGTTATCCGATCTATTAAAAATAGTAACTTCTTCCTTATACAGAATTTATAATACACAGAAATGTCTCATAGCAAAACCATGAAGAAGGAAAAAAAAAAAGGGGGGGAACACTTACAAGGAAGTTTTAGATTGCCCTTAATTCTCCTTCAGCAGTTTGTCTGATTCTTAATCCCCATACGAAATCCAATTCTCATTTGCATACCAAAAGCAAGGAATAGTTTTAGTGGCTTTAATTTTGAATTTATATTTTTAAGATTGTGTTAAACATTTCACTGTGCTGGCTGCAATCTTATCAGTCGGGTTAGTGTAATATATCTGTTTTAATAAAATAATTACAACATTACAAATTCCTGTATCTTCAGGTCAGGAACAACACTCACACTTGTCTCAAAAGTTTTTTACATTAGTGCAGAACTGACTTTAAAAATTGTCCAACACAGCAACTGGAAGTCTACCTGGATTTATTTGGAGAAACACAGTTCACGTCTGCCAGTTTTCAAATCGTCATTATAAATGATATGATAGGTTTGTGCATTATACCAACATTTTTATTTCTTCCCTGCATACTTCCTGTAGAAGATACTTTTTAAGATTAATGTACTTTAGTGTAGAAAATAATTTCAAATAAATAAGCATTAGAACTTGCTCAGCAGGTAATATTTATAAGTCCATCAAGATCAGATTAAAATAAAAAATATATAGTCCAGTCAATCTCAAACTGAATTGTGCTCATTTTGCACATTAAAGTTAACTTATTAAATGTCCGTTGTTGACTGAAAACAGCAGTTTTTTAAAGTTAATCAGTTTGTTCAGCTTTGACACTTTTGACGAGGCCGATATCAAAGTGGAAGAAAAGATTGATCCAAAGTTTTCCTTATTGCTCAGTAGGAGACAGCAAGAACAAAAATAACAACATGCAAAAATGTAGCACAGGGGATCTTCCAAACCCCAACTTCCACGTGCTTTGTCAAAGCAGAAAACACCCGTCTGAACTGAACTGGAAGCTCATGCGTTATGATTTTGTTTGCTACTCCTCCTACGTCCAACCCATGGGGGAATGTGCACCACCTCAGGGCCTGAAAGGTAGCAACAGTAATAAAAAATCAAGATGATATGAGACACCTGTGACTGTTTAATGAGTCCTTTAATGTTTTACATTGATTTGTGTTGTACAATCATTCCTTGTGCTTTTATATTTGAGGATCCGAGAGTAAACAGCCTTTTTGTTGCAGTGCTCACCTCTGATTGTAACGTCTTTCTTTTGAAGCACTTCTTTCCCCGTGTATATGTTCCTTGCTCTGCAGGCATAGGTGCCCGAGTGCACCAGGGAAACGTTCTTGATGGTTAGCGTGAGGGTGATGGAGTACTCCTTATTGAGAGACTTTTTTACTTTCGTTTGATTATTTACTGTCCTCGGTAAAATCCAAGCAATGTCTTTGTACAGGAATTTGTTGGCCGAACAGAACAATACCAAATTCTCTCCTTCAATGGGCATTTTTTCCAAATTGATATGGAATCCATTCGGTACATCTGTCAAAAATCAAGAACACTTTTCAGTTTCTATGAAATGAACGAGCCAAAATTAACATAGTTTATTTTTTCCCTTTTTCGGGAAGCCTTTGAAATAATCAATGTTGCTGTCTTCCTGCTGACGTCTCTAATCTTTCATTTTGTAGGCTGGCCTCCAGCTATTCCTCTAAGTTGCCACAGAGTTACAAAACACTCAGGCTTGGGCATCAGTTGGTGTAAACTAAAGTTGCTCTTGGAAGTAGTACGCTTGTACAAATGTTATCTCCACCAAGTTAAGACAGACTGGGGCAAGGTACCAAAAGCAGAATTATTTAAAGAGAACATGCTGAGATTATGAAAAAGGAGAGAAATTCTGATCTCGGTTTCAGCTCATGCACTGTATGAAAGAAAATGAATCTTAAGTGGACAAGAGGAAGATAATCTAGTTCATCATACTTGATTATACAGTTTCCATGTTATTCACGAGTATTCAGATATGTGATGTTTATTTCTTAAAGCACCTTCAAATCTGAGAAATTAGTGAATCTGTGATTACTTTCCAGAGTTTTCCCTTGGAACAGAGGTGTTTACTCATCATGCATTTAAAACACCTCAGCCATTCAAGAGGAAAGCAGAAACATCGCCTGACCTAGGTGACCAGCTGTCTGCAGGCAGCACATAAGATCACTCTGTTCAGACTACTCGGCATTAAGTATAGGTGAGTAATATTTCCACTTGAGAGAAATCAAGGATCATTACACCAACCATTTGCTAAGCATAAGTATGACTGAAGCTTTAAAAAAATCATCTATAGAAGATAGTCAAGGCAGGAACTGATTTAGCCAACAATGTGAAAAGTCCTACTTGCAGGTCTTTGTAGCATTACTGCAGCCTCCTCCACCTGGAGAAGGGCACAGACTCAGGGCACTGCTGACTACCTCACCGCCATCTCCACTTGAGGCTCAGCCCTCAGGTAAGAGAGTTACGCCACTGGCTTAAGTGAAAGTACAAGCAAGTTCCAGACAGAAAACAGTTCCAAGTCTTTCCCCTTGTCTGCAACCTCTCTTGGGTTATTTGTAGCCAATATTCTGATAAAGGCATTTCCTTCTGCTTGTTTAAGTGAAACTGAGTTTGGTTATTTTCAATTGTTCTCTACCTCCTAATTGCTAGGGCACTTGGCTGTGATCTTGACTCCGAATCATAAGAACAGTTTCATCTTTCATAAGGGGAAATTATGCCTTCTTTTTTATCTCTTACAGCATGTACCGCTTGAACATAGACTTTCAATCACTTCCAGGCTTATCAATGTCAGTTCAGGTCTAGCATCACAGCAGCAGAGAAGCGTAAGGAGCATCAGCCGACCGTCTTGTACCCAGGCACCATAAAGCGCATGTGAATCAGCCCTGCAGCCCTCTGCCCAGTCTCCAGTGAATAACACTCCCCATGTTCTCTCTGTAACCTCTTTTCCTGATTGACCAATCTAGCAGAAAGCTTTACTCCTTAAGTCTTCACAACGAAAACTAAGCTGCCTTGCCTCCCCTGGGTACCCATGAACAAGATGTGCTCACTACTGCCTTTGAAACAATATTCTGTTTATAGAAAGTCTGTCATCAGTTGCTCCCCTGAGTATTGTCTTTTCTAGACTAAGCACTGAGCGTTAAATACTGGGTAAATGAGCTCCTGCGAGCCTGGACTGAAATTCCCTCAAACCGTAGGTGCTTTCCAGAGAAAGGTCTGACTTCTGTGGTGTGAACTCGTCACATCCTTGCAGTGAAGTGAAGACAAAGTGTGTGCCTGTTGGTGTCCATATATGCCAAAGATTAAATGGGTGGAAGCCACGACCTTAAGATATTACACTGGCTGTTAAAGCCTATGTGCTTACTTGTTCCTCTTAAATTTCATTGGTATCCTTTTTTTGCCTTTAAGCAAATAAATCTATAAGAAAAACTTGAAATTTAGTGAACTTATTTGCACGTGACTTTCATCAGAGTCCTCTTTGATGTGCTAAGGGCACAAGGGGACAGATTCTGATCTCAATTAAATAAGTGTCAGGCAAAAGAGCTACTAAGATCAAAACTTTCCCTA